TTGCCACTGTAATTTGTTTTAAGGCCTTTTATGATTGGAAAAAAAAATCATTTGCAGCCAAATCTCCCTTTTGCATTCATTCACTCTCTCTCACACACACAAACACAAACCTGGTGGGCGAAGAGCCCTCATTCTAAATTTCTACTTGAAGTAGATATTAATAAGTTATAAATCCCTGAAAATGAGGGTGGACCATGGAAATGCTGGTATACCCTTTATTAAGCAGTGCTGCCAAGAGCCACTATAAAGTTAACTACTTTTATAGGTTATACCTATTGCATTTTTAATTGTAACAATCTTGTGAACACAGAACTTCATGGCAAAGGTACAGAATAAATCAGCCAGTACCATCAATACAGAGAACACTTACAGTGCCCAATGTCCAGGGACAATCGTTCATAAGTCAGCTGTATGGTGGTCAAATCGTAAAAGGGTATTGATTAGTTTATATTCCATTGCAACTTCATTGTGTCTATTTCAAAATCATAGCACATCTTAGCATTTACTATACAATGCATTTTGGAGTTTTCCATATTAAAACTTATGCTTGCCATGGCCAGAGAGATCTAAACTTGTTACTATCTGGCAGCTGTTCAGTGGCCCACATGAAATGAATCGGTGGTCTCAATTTAGCGCATGGTGAATGAGTGTCTACATCATACCACCACTGTCATCGCACAAACTAGTACTCTCAGCAGAGAGGCCAAGAACAGAATTGGCATGAAGACTGAATTATCCTCTCAGGTCATACTGATAGAGGGTAGAATACATTGACACTTCCCACACTTTACCTGCTCTGTGGATAAACAAAGACCTTTTGCAATCAAGCACCTTTCTTGAGCTAAGTTAACTTAAACGATAATACTCCAATAAATACAGAGACTTCTAGAGCAAATATCACTGACAGTCAGTAGAGAAAAAAAAGGATGAATTTTTAACTTGAATTTAATACTCTAAACCGGCTGAAGTTTGTTCAGAGTGGTAAAAAAGCTCTCACATAAAGCTTGCAAATACATTGTGTCATGTCCAAAACAGTCCAGAAACTTTTATAGAACAAGAAGGCTACCAAGCTAGACCAAACCAAACACTCTAAGTAAAGAAAAATGGTCCTGTTTCTGATTACACATACCCAGTTTTTACTCTGGTCTAACGCCTTTGGCTTCAGTACAGTTACTCCCAATATACAATGATGTAAATGAGATCAGAATCAGACTCAATGATCATTTTAAAACAATGAGTGCAATATCCAGGTGGCAATTAAAGAAACTCATTCCACACATATAAAATAAGTTCCTGCCCTTTATTAGTAGAAATGAACCTGCCATCTGCACCAGTGCAAAGTCTTATTGAACATATTATCCACTCATTGAGTTCATTGGAGCAACTGTGAATTGACATCATGAGGCAGTGATCCCTAGTGGACAGAACACTCAGCTAGGATTCAGGACAACTGCGTTTTGTTCCTGGCTCTGCCACTGGCCTGCTGGGTGATATTGAGCAGGCTTTTAACCTCTGTACCTCAGTTCCCCATCTGTAAAATGGGGATGATGTTTATCTCCTTTGTAAACTGCTTTTAGACGTACCAATGAAAAGTGCTATATGACAGCTAGGCATTATTATTAAATGAGATCAGAAACTGACCTTGTGTTTCTAAGTTCTAGCATGCACTGGCAAAAGACAAACATTTGAAGTGAAGGAAAGAATTATATATGGAGATACTATCTCATAACTGGAAGGGACCCTGAAAGGTCATTGAGTCCAGCCCCCTGCCTTCACTAGCAGGACCAAGTACTGATTTTGCCCTAGATCCTTAAGTGGCCCCCTCAAGGGCTGAACTCATAACCCTGGATTTAGCAGGCCAATGCTCAAGCCACTGAGCTATCCCTCCCCCACCAAGTGAATGACTGATGATAGGTCTTGAAGTTCTTTAGAGGTGTGTAAAGAAGGCAGAGGTGGGGAAGAAAGTTGCACAAAATTCTGCCATACCTAAGCTACCACAAGGTGAAGATTTTTCCAGCAGTGCCAGCCATATAGGACACTATCAGTTTTTCATTCTTGATTAACTGAGTGCAGAGAAGACTCAAAGACAGAATACACAAGCTCTTTAGTCTGCCCTGTTACAGCCACACACATGTGCATTTCAGGTGCATGTTAAGTTATAGTGCAGATCTTGGCCAGAGTTCATATATTTTTCATAGAGATCATGATACATGTTGGAGTAGGTTCTCAAAGGTGCTGGGTACCCACACCTCCCACAGAGACCATTAAGCAGTGACAGATTTAGCTACACTAAAGTCTTATCTGCACTGAGACATTTTGTACCTGTTGTCAGCAATTGTGGCTATTTCCTTGGTACAGACAACCAACCCATATGGCTGGTTGAAGTGCTCGGGTATATTGGGCTAACCCATTTTCAACACCACATCAGGAAAACCCTCTCTAAACTGTTATCACCAGTGCGGCTTCACCTGTTGCTGACAATGGATGTTCTCGTGTAGGCAAAGCACATGAACCCACTGCAGGATGTTTGCGACTGTCTCTCCCTCCAGTGGCTAGAGCCCTACCAAGAGGGTGCAAACCCTTACACTACTAATACTTTCTCCTTGAGTTCAGATAGCAAAGGTATGTGCTTTTGGAAAAGGTGGTTGTAAGTTCTATACTCACCCATCTGCATTGACCATAGCCCACCCAACGCCTGACCTTTTCATGATGCCATTTGATCCTCTTTCAAATCCTTGCCTGACACTCTGCCTCCTTAAATTATTTACAGGGTCAACTAACTAGTGTCCTTCACTTCCCTAAACAGTTTGCAGTGTTGCTATGTGCAGTTATGCAGCTGGTTCTGTCCACTCTAGCAGTAGCTCATGCATAGTTTATAATCAGTCTTAAACATTTCAGGATCCTATTGGCCAAAAAGCAATTTGTAAATGACTTCAGTGGGAGTTGGGTCAGACTCTTATATGGGTACAATTCCAAATGATATGAAGAAGAATTGCATCCTTGTGGGCAGAATTGGGCTCCAGGAGTTGGATATATTTTTAAGACAGAGTACAATATTGGGAGCATGCACTACTGTAGACATCAGTGACTAATGGCAACAGAGTTGGGTTTTTTCCCCACATAATAAAGCTGTACACTCAACATGGGCCCTAGCTGCTGAAAGACACTTAAGATTTCTCCCTCCTTTTTTATCATAATGATATTGTGGAGTTTAACAGGATTAAGGAAACTATTGTGCAGAATTTCAACCATTTTACTTACAGAATTGTCTTTCTAAATGAAATGAATTCCAGTAGAAGTAGACACAAATATATTTGGGCAATCTCAGGCCCTGTGTGTGAATGAAAGGGACACAAAACCAATTACAGACAAAGTGACCTTCTTAAGCTCCCACACAGCAAAAGCAGTGTGGTCTAATTGATAAGGCACTGGCCTCAGAGTCAGGCGTGCTGGGTTTTTGTCTCAGTTCTACCTCTGACAATCTAGGTAATCTTGAGCAAAATCACTTCACTTCTCTGTGATTCAGTTCCACATCCTATAAAATGGGAATAAAGATATGTATCTTCTCTTATAATTCACTGTGAGATCTACAGATAAAAATCACTGTATGAGAGCTAACAAGCATGGTTTATATAGGATAAGTATTAAAAACACCTGCCAGCCTATTGAACTCTTTGCTTTAAGAGATTCAGATGAATGAGTGAGGTTCATGTGTGGAACCTCATGGAAAATGACAAACCCTTTAGAAATGTATTCCTAAATTACCCCAGAATTTATATGCTGAATTTTAGCCCAGAACAATTTTTACAACCAATTCATAAACCCCTCAAAATAAGGGGCTTTTAACAAAACACGGACAGAGTTAGCAGTAACAGTGACTTTTACTATCATTACTTTGCAATCACAGAAACTCAGCCAGAACATGCATTTGGACTTCTCTAGCTTCCCAAAAGAAAAATATTATTAGATCCCAATTCTGCAAGATACTTAGTGCCTTCTAGGAGTCACTGGCCTTCTCATTAAAGGTGCTTAGCGCCTTGCAGACTGTCTCTCTTAATGTGGTTCTGCTCCTGGGAAAGCTTCCATAAAGTGAGTGGATGGCTACAATATTGATCAACAGCAACAAGAGAAGACATCTGACTTTGGAAGACCACAGATCCTCAGATCCAGCTTCCTCCTAGGTGTTCTCCCAGCCCTTCCTACACTGATAGTCCTCAGCCAATAGGTATTTCCCAGGCTTCTCTGCTGTACTACCCATAGCTTTTCCCACCTCAGTTATGCTCACGTGAGCACTTGGAGATCCTAGTGAACTTTGAGATCCTTGGAAGAAAGGCAACATATAAGTGAAAAATACTGGTTAGTATTAATATTGTTATATGACCTCTCTGGTGATCATACGAGTGTAGATCCTAATATTATGCTTTGTTTACATGACATCTTATGGACATCACTTATTGATTCATTGTCCAGGGGCACTTCCTGCATAGCACATTTGTTCCTGGATTCCCTCCCTTCCACCAAGCCTGAATCCTATGGCTAAAGAGCACAGCTGGTGCATAGCTAGTAGAGAGAGAACATTATCAGCTACATGAGGATATGGAAATATTATATAGCCACCTTTCCCCATCGTTAGCCCTCTGGGCACCTTTTCCACTGGATTCTCACTTTCCTTCTCCTCTTCACCATATGCAAAAGGTATGTAAACTAGGTCTAGTGTAATTTCACCATAAATAAGGTCTTGGTAATTTGGGGCAAAATGACACCTACTTACATCTACCACAGTAAAGATGGAAGTATTTCACTTACAGTGCATTTAGGTGGGTCATTCATCTGCAAACTGCACTAGAAGACAGTGATTTTAGGGTTATGAATTTTGCCTTCTGACCACAAGTTGAAATTCCATACACAGACGTACTGATTCAGCAATCACAATCTAGTCACATGCTCCATATTCATTCTCTCTCTCTCTCTCTTGCTCTCTCAGGGAAATGAGACATTACCTCGGCAAGTCGAGAATGCTTGTGAACGTTCTCTCCTTTCTGCACACTTGGAGCAAGCTGCTGCAAGACGCCCCGGCTGCTTGTGAGGGCTCGTGTCAAGCGAGCAAACTTCCCCCAGCCTTGAGAAAACAGAACAAAGATTACACAAGAGATACAAGAAACAATATGCAATTGTATTTAAGGAAGACTATCCTTACTCAAGGGATCAAATTCTGCAGTGATAAATGTGGTATAATTTAACCACATGCCAGGTGGAAGTGAGTCAGTAAACAGGTGTCAGTGTGGCAAATTGGCCAAAAATGTTGGCAATTCAATGGCTGTGCAAGAGGACAGTTACATGGATTGAGTATTACCTGGGGACAAAATTCTGCCCTGGAAGAATTGGAATAAGTGATCTGATTCAGATCTCACATCAACACAGGAGATGCTTCTGACCTATCCAGGTGAGAGGCCAGAATCAGGAACAATGAGAGTTATAACAAAAATTGAATCTGGCCCCAGATGTGTAGGGGATGGTGTGAATGTAAGCAAAGAAATAGACCATACTATATGATCTAACCAAAAAAAGTGCAGATGAAACCAGCAACATGATTTTATACCCTCTGCAGATGAGAGGAAGGAAAAAGCAAATATTTTTTTCAAACTTTGCAAAAACATTCAGCTGCTGGGGAGTAGAATTTATATGCTGAATTTTAGCCCAGAACAATTTTTTACAACCGATTCATAAACCCCTCAAAATAAGGGGCCTTTAACAAAACACCAACAGAGTTAGCAGTAACAGTGACTTTTATGATCATTACTTTGCAATCGCAGAAACTCAGCTAGGACATGCATTTGAACTTCTCTAGCTTCCTAAAAGAAAAATATTATTAGGTCCCAATTCTGCAAGATACTTAGTGCCTTCTGGGAGTCACTGGCCTTCTCATTAAGGGTGCTTAGCACCTTGCAGACTCTCTCTTAATGTGGTTCTGCTCCTGGGAAAGCTTCCATAACCTTCTGACTCCATTAAGAAAAGAAATTATACTATTTTTTAAAGAGCAGCCTGGATTGCTACTGTGCAAGTCTCCTATTAAAGTCATTGGGATTTGAGTGGTTAGAGTGCTGCCCAGTACTTTGAACATTTCCTGTCAATGCCCTGTTGTGAAAGTGTTTGCTGGAATGTGTGTTTGCTAAATAAAAGGGTGACACAATAAAGAAGCAAATTACATGGATTTGCTGTTCAGCAGAACCTTCCTAGCCTGGGGCTGAAAAGGTAACTTGACATATGTTTCTTAAGGAAAGTGCAAAGGAGCAACCCTAAAAAAGGTGTGGAATCAGACAAAAACAATTGTCGAGGCAAAGAATGTCTCTTACAAAGCCAACATTGAAGCTGCCGCCCCTCCCCTCCCGAGGTCTGATTGATAGAGCTGGCTGGAACCAACTGCCTATTTCCTGTAGAATTCCGCAGTAATTAGACTTTTCATTTCCATCCACTGGGGCAAATCTCATCTGAGTAAGGAGCACAGTGTTTGCCCCAGAAAGAGAGAGATCTCTTCAGAGAAACAGATCACCTTTCCAAATACAGAGGCAGATCCTCAGCTGAGGTTAATCAGCACAGCTCTATTGACTCCAGTGCAACTATATTAATTGGCCCCAAATCTGTTATTTTTCACAATAGTCAGACTGATACATTTTCATGGCAGCTTTTTAACACAGTACATTTCTAAGGGAATATTCTTCCCTTGCTATCTATGAGTAAGCCTCATTAACATTAATGGGCCCAGTCCTGAAGCCATTACTCACTTCTTATTCAGGCAAAAACTTTGAGTAGGCCAGTTGGTGTTATGAGAACATGCTGGGGGAAATTGCTCCTAAGGGCCAGATCTACAGCTGGTGTCAATGAGCATAGATCTTCTAAAGCTAATAGAGATGGTGTAAGTTGGTGTGTCTCCATTAGCTTTAGAAGATCTATGCTCATTGATACCAGCTGAGAATCTGGCCCTAAGACCTTCCTTTGACATAACTTGGATATCACACGACTCCACTGACTTCACTGGAGTTACTCCTGATTCTTCACTGACTTACACCACTGTAAATCAAGATCACTGGATTTACAGTGGTGTGCATCCAGAGAAACCGGGGGAGAATTTGTTCAAGTGTCAGTAAATAGAATCACATGGGTTTACAGTCTCAGCTTTATAGTATGTGATATAAATAAAGCATGTACACCATATGAGTATTTCAGAGTAGCAGCCGTGTTAGTCTGTATCCGTAAAAAGAACAGGAGTACTTGTGGCACCTTAGAGACTAACAAATTAATTTGTTCTTCATATGAGTATTATTAGCAATTAATGCTGTCCATGGTGCTGAAATGAAGTGTACTATGCTGTGTGTAAAGATTACACACAAAATAATATGTTAAATAGTATCTAAATGTTGCAAAGCCAAGCACTCAGACAGGAAATGCCAGAATTAAGGCTGTCCACACAAACATAATTTGACTCCATTGTCCACATGCATTAAGATACAGTCTTTAATTACATTATCACATACAATTCTCCCACCAGGATCCCTGCCTCACTCAGTGCACAGAGCTCAATTAATGAGCAATTATTCAATATTTTATTTTATCTTCATTGAACAATGTGTGGCCCTAGGCCTTATTTAAGTCACACTATTCAAACTCTGCCCTGAGCGGGTGTGTAATTTTCTAGGTTTTTAAAAAAGCAAACTGTGGAATCATATTGACACCCACCTGGGTTATCAGCAGGATTGGAACCTTTAGATCCACTGCAAGACTATTTGCCCCTTGAGTTAATGGATTTACCAATAGCAGTAGTAGGTTGTCATCCTTTATGTGGACCAGAGTAGAGGCAGATGAGACACACACATTGCCCGTGGGTTTTACAGATATTTGCTGAGAGCAGAAGAATGAGGAGACTTGGAAATCTGGGGTCCCATTCCACGTTCAGGAAGGGAGTCTATTCTAGTGGTCACCCTTCTGCCCCTGTCTCCCTCAGTCTGTCCCTATTCTAGTACTGTCTTTCCCCATTGCCCCCCTGCAGGATATCATTGCATTTCCCCACCTCCACCTTCTTATCCCAGTTCTACTCTAATCCTCTGACCTCCCTGTCCAAGTCCCAGTCTTCTCCCCACCTCAGGCTCCTCATCCCAGTCTATCCACAGACTCCTTGCCCAGAGTCCCAGTCTCTCCCCTTCCCAGCTCAGTCTTAGTTCCATAGATTCATAGATTCCAAGACCAGAGGGGACCACTGTGATCATCTCGTCCGACTGTCTCTATCACACAGGCCACAGAATTTACCCAAAATAATTCCTACAGCATAGCTTTTTATAAAAACATCCAATCTTGATTTTACAAATATCAGTGATGGAGAATCCATCTTGATGCTTGGTAAATTGCCCCTCACTGTTAAAAATGAACACCTTTTTCCAGTCTGAATTTGTCCAGCTTTAGGGTCCAGCCATTAGATTGGGGAATACCTTTCTCTGCTAGACTGAAGAGGCCATTATTAAATATTTGTTCTCCAGGTAGGTACTCCTAAATTAATAGAGTTACCCCTTAACTTTCTCCTTGTTAAGCTAAATAAATTGCTTTCTTTGAGTCTATCACTACAAGACAATTTTCTAATCCTTTAATCATTCTTGTGGCTCTTCTCTAAACCTCCTCCTGTTAACTCCCCATCCCAGTTTTCCCATCCCAGGTTCCTTGTCTCAATCTATACTCCCCTGCACCCACCAGTCTGGTTCTTGTCCCTTCTGCATTTGAGACAGGTCACTTCCTCCTCCATACTGCGTGGTCACCAGCAAGGGGGCACTGAAATCACAGAGAGACTCTTCCTGTTCTTAATTCTGGTTTCCATGACCAGGATGACATGCAGCACTAATTTCAGGGAAAATCCTGCTCAGCCCTGCAGCCTTGGGCTGGAGCATGCTCAGTACAGATAGAATCCTGAGAGAATTTAGTTGACAAACTTTAACAAGTCTCTACTGAGCATGTGGAAACAAAGTTTTTCAAAGGCTTATAACTTGGCCAAATTTGAGCTGTTTTCACAGGGATGGCAAAAGGCACATCCCTGGCCCAGGGCAATTTTAAGTCTTTGTTCCAAAGAATGAAAGCATTAGAATGTCTCAAAGAAACAATTATAGGATTTTTTTTTACACCATGGACAAGTGAAAATACTTTAACCTAATCTCATTCTCTGATATGGCTCAACCATTGATGATGAAACTTTAAAAATAAATTCAGCCTGTGGCAGACACCTGGTGAGGAAAATTTCAGTCCAAACAGATAATGATGGGCAAAGTTATAAGCAACTGAAAACAGGATCATATAAAGAGAAGTGTCATGCGAACTTAACTATATAAGCAGAGCTGGTAGTATTGCCTATAATGAGACTGCAGGCCCAATTCTCCTCTTGCTTATTCCAGATTTACATTATTGTAACTATTGATTTCACTGGAATTGCCTTGGATTTACAGTTGGAAGAAGAATCAGGCCCTGTGCCTGAAGAGTGCATAATAAGTATGTGAGTATGCCTTAAGCGGAGCTGAGCTTTGTGAAATTTTTACCATAGAACAAAGGGTTAGTAAATGTCATTAAATTTTACAGACATTTAAGCAGTGCCATGTAGATGCAAAGCCTATCTATGGCCAAAAAGTATATTATGCTTTTCAAGTAACATTAGCTATTATGAAACTGAGAGATTCTCTCACTTCTTTTGTTCATTTCTGTTCCTTATTTAAAAAGCGCTGGGAATATTCTACAGTAATGGTCTAAACCCTACTGCTTACTGTAGCAATACTGCTGTGTTTTGGGCAATTAGTGTAAAATGCCATCCTTTTATTTTTAAATGGAAGGAAAAGAAAATTGTGGAAACTCCAGCGTACACAGTGGTTCTATATATTGCATCACAGAGACAACATTGGCATCAACAGCACTTACAGTAGAATGCTCATTTGTCTCTCAGTACCCTAAGAGGAAGGAATCCCTCTTGATCTTATTACAACACATTACTACAGAAGCCTGAAGGAAGACAAACTGCCTGTAGGTACGCAGACATTTAGGGCAAGGACTGATTACTCTCATTAGTCAAAGACAGACCAAAGAAGTGATGGACTT